CTCACGAGTGAGCTTCGCTCACTCGTGAGATATTGTTCTTGCCACGAGAACATAAAATTCATATCTTCTCGCCACCGTGTAATATCCTCTATATATTATTGCAGTCTGTGGGAACATTAAATTGAAATTATAATTCCCCTTAACCTTTGCTCATTCACAAGAATTTATGTAGAATTTTGTATCCAGTTAACCTAAACATCAACGAGACACACTTTTTCTGGCAGAAACTATTTTACATCAGCATATTGACGCTGAGACTGGCGAAATTTTTAGTAGACCTTAGTAGAGACAGGTACAGCTTATGAGCTTGTCATAATTACCTGTGACTAGACAAGTTAAGCATGATCATTCAATAACAGAAACACAAATCTGTGATCTAAGAATGTTTTAACACTATTCACAGTCCGCAGTTTCCAGCCTAAGCTGAAAGAAAAAAAATTATTCAGTCAAGGAACGAAAAATAAACACTCTTACAAAATCGTGTATGCGATTACCTTGTAAATAACGACAATAACTGTTTCTTCTATGTGTACTTACAAATAAATTTTGGCTCGTCTCGGCTGAGAATCGAAAAGTTCGGTTGCGCTTTGTTGTCCAGCTTATTATGAAATATTGGTACACTCTTTGAGTCTGAATACGAAATTTGAACCAGATGCCACCAAGAATTCAGTCTTACAGTCCCATAAACGGAATAACTGAACTGATAACCCCAACGCAATGTCCGAAAACAGACCAAGCAGCGAAGAAACCTTAACCCTTGTCTTACAAAGGGCAAAAGGGTATGTAAATTTTTCCAGTTTATTTTGCAAATTATAATATTTGGCGGTGACCTGTGAGTTGTCTATTAAAGGTGATAATAATCGAACAGGACTCAAAGCATATTAGCCTTTGTGCTCTTTATCAAATGAACACAAAACGTTTAATAAGTAGTGAAGCCGTTGGGGCTTTTCTGGTTCCATTAACATGATATTTTTTTTCATCGAAAGTAATTTTCAGTTTTTCCAACGTCAGTACATGTCATTCGTCTCTCACCTTTAAAATGTCAGCGTGATCGTCACGTGCACTGGCCCCTTACCTCCTCTCACCCAGTCCCCTCTCTCACAGAAGGATCACATGTTGATCACTAGCGCTCATTGAAGAACCTACATTTATGTAACTACTGTCTCAGCCAACTTGATGTAGTCAAAGTCCTAACAAGTTGAACCATTGGGAAATAATCCCTCGCAAATATTGTATGAAGCTTCAGGGTATTTTGAGATTGGCACTTTTATCAGTGAACAATACAAACTACTTCGATTTTCCTTCAGTTTCTTTCGGCAGAGTTTTGAATGTAATCAAAACAGGCAGACCTTGATGTTTAGTTTGCACTTTGGACTTTACACTGAAAAGGTTGAACCCTGACAAATCAAACACGGGAAGTGACCCTCGAGCGTGTACAAATGAGCTGAAGTAGTTTTGGCTCTCTAATGGTTATAGACTGTGCAGCGAATAATTACATCCGTTAGCGGGGACCTGGGACATCAGTGTTGACCTTTTGTCAAGCTAAACATTTTTCTACTAATTAGAAAATCACGTTTTTCTCTTTTGTTTTTGAAACAAGGCACGTTTTTGCTGTTCAAACCTTGCAACAGTTTTTGTCGAAGGGTTTTCTCAGTCGTCCTTTTAATCATACATCTTGTTTTGGTGACATAAATTAATTTTCTACTCAAACACTTGCTCTGAATTATTTAATACACCAAGATGACCTAATCCTCGTAAATCTCTTTCAGTGAAAAACTTTTTGTCTGTGACTTATCTGATAAAACAGCATTTACTGCTAATCCCTTTGACTGACACTAAAGAACACACATGAACAGGGAAATAACAAATCTTTTTGCGCGATACTGAAAAATAAAACGACTTCGCCATGTGAAACCTGATCTTGTCGCTTATTCCGTTGTTCTATGGTGAGCTGCCTTATATCAGGCACTGTTCTGAGATATTTTAGTACTTTAGTTCTCCCTTTCAAACAGGCACAAACTCTTGTTTCCTTCGTCATTTAGACTGAACGGTCTTGTCAAATTAAGCAAACTGCAAGCGCTAATAAGAATAGATTGTCACCGCCCTTGAAAACTTATGGTGAAGAAGCGTTAAAAAGGGATTGTTAGTAGCAGGAACTTGGTGGAAAATTTGCTGATGCAGAGCTGGAGGGATCTTTAAGCAACATTAAAAAAAACATTTTCTGTTTGTGGATGGTCATCAGTCAGTACAGACTTGAAAGAGAAGAAAAATCTTACCAAGGCACTTCGTCAGAGGTAAAGCAATGCCAAAGCCAAAGGTTATCGCATTAGATTCAAACAATGTTGATATCTTCTCAGACCCGCAGTGCAGCGATAGTAAAAGCACCCGCTCTCAGCGTAAGGCAACGAAAGCTTCGAAAACAGTCAAGCGGCGCATGTCAGCCAAGGTAATAAAAATTTTATTATATTTGCATTGAATTTGCCGAGACAGGAAAAACAGGAGATAACGAGTTAAAAGGGGCTATAGTTCACAGTACTTAAGCTAAATCTACTTATTTTGTCAACTATGAATTCTAAATTTCAAATTAGCTGCACAACAGTCTCTCATTGCGAATGTCTCGGGCACATATCATTTCAGACGCATTATAAATAATAAATATTATACAAATTATAATCCTTTGTAATCTTCTCCAGTTTTGCTCATCCGTGACTTTTTTTTTTTCTGCGTTTCTTTTGAGTTCTTCAACAATTTTGAACCATTGTTGAGATATTTTCAGTTAATCAGTCTATGACTAGTTTGTAAGAGCTGAAATTGCCAAAAATTGGTTCACCTAGCTCTCGTTCAAGTCATGTGTAGGCCGCGAAAATGGTGTGGTGAAGCATTGTGTCAGCAGTTACTGTAGTACAAAACAACGCATGAGAAGATTGCTGTTGACTCCGGAGTTTTTCTGAACTAATTCTGACTTACACCCAAATTAAAAGAGAGGTATTCCCTTTTAAAAGAGATCAGTCAAGTAATTTTGAGTTATTTTGACCGCGTACAAAATCGCCTTTAAATTGAAGGAAACCTGAAAATAATAGTTAACTAAGATAGAAAACGTCCATGAAATAATTATGAACCACTGAAAGAAACAAGGATAATGAAGATTAACACGAATTACAAATCCAGAGGACGGTACTGGAGGACGCATGTCTCTGTATGAGACCTTCTAAAAAAGTTGCTTTTATGTCTTCATATCAGTTCGATTTAGGAATGGTTGGTGATTTCGTTTCGACTGCATCGATGAGTAATCAATGGCATTAGAAACTACCCATTGCGATCAATAACTAATCTATGACTGCAAATTTTGTGGCCCATCTATTAATTATCGATTACTCTTTGGTCATCGACAATAATCTATGACTAATCAACTGATTTCCATCGATTGCTGACTGATTTGACAACACTGACATAAAATACGACTTGGGGCTTCGTTCACCCTACGCGGAGAAATTTGAAAACACAGCTTTATTTCTACGGTTAGGCCTACCGTCCATACTAATCCGTCACAAAAACGGAACTTTTCGAAAACGTTCTTCAAACTTGAGGAATTTGAAAACGTCGGTTTTTCGTTTTCGTGTGGTCGGAAAAAATTTTGAAAACGGAGCTTTTCGAAAGCGCTCTTCAAACCGGAGGAATTTCAAAAAACGCCGGCTTTTCGTTTTCGTGTGGTTGG